GTAAGACTCACAATCTTATTATTTAGCTTTAAAAGCTCTTCTTCCAGGCTCGCCAGCTTGGCCAGGGCCACGTCCCTCTTCTCCTCGGCATCACTCAGCTTTCGCTTTGCATCAGAGACAAGGGACCGAAGTTTGGCCTCCAACTCGTCCATCCCATTCTTTTGCTCCTCAAACTTAGCAAGGTCAAGGAGGTTTTGGATGGAAAGAACCAAGCTCTGAAAAAGTCAAAGTTAAAAAAAAAATATAATAACAAAAAAAAAATGGGAGAGAGAGAGAGGGGGCTTTAGCCTTACGTGGATTTTGAAGGAAATTTGCTTCCGCTGATGATCAACCAAGGATGACTGAGCTCCAGCAACCCAGTGAGGCTCAAGGAAGGACTCATAGAGAGCCTGAAAGACAACAGAGAAGCGAGGAGGAAGTTTCAGCATCGCCCCACTCTCGGCGTCAGATATGTCCGAGACTTGGAACTTGGGGTCCATGATTTTGGCCCATGGGATAAGCACGCGCTCCCTCGGCGCCGAGGGAATCTCGACGTCAGGGATGGGGACCATCGGCGCCCACGTTTCTGTCACCGGTGTCTTGTCCCTGCGTCTCTTCTTTCTCACCAGTTCCTCCTCCGACCCTGAAGGACCCTTCTTGGACTTTCTGCTCTTCGGGGTACGGGAAGAAGAGGAAACCTTTTCTTTCCCTTTCGGCTCGGCAGCATGACTCGGCGGGGGCAGTTGTTCTGGCGGCGGTGGTTGGCTCAGCCCAGCCTACTGGCCGCCAGGAAGTTGGATCCTCAAGGACACCATTTCTGCAGAAGAATGACGAGGTCAACACGCAGGCGGCATTGGAACAATCCAAGTCGCATCAAAGAAGGGTGTCGAAAGCAAATCGTACCTTCGTCGTTCAAATGGAAGTACTGACGGACGACGTCTAAGTTGGCAGGGTCTGGGAGATCAAGGATCAGGCCGGCTTCGCGGAGGTTCTTCTGGGTCAAGAGCGTCTCAATATGACGAACCTCTGGCGGAAAAGAAAAAGCCTCTTCAATCCTCACCAAGCTGTTGCCGGAGAACTTTGGCCGGTCCTGACTTACTAAAATGCGAGCAAAATGTCAGTAGCAAAAACGAAAGAAGTTAAAGTCGGACAACCAAAAAGCCAAGGAAACTTACCCATATTCCCAAACGCCGCCTGCACCTACCTTCGACGGGGCAGGCGGTCGTTGGGGTGAAAATTGAAGGGCCCCCGAATCATGAAAAATATGGGCTTCCACCCATGCGATGACGAGGGGGTGCCCAGTATGAGCTTCCCAAGTCGGGGTTGGGACCTCCCGTGACCACTCAAAAAATACCACCCCTCGCACTTGGCGACGTGGCATAATCTATACATGAATCGAAATTCATCAACGGGAAGGTCCACATCGAATTTTTAGTGCCATAAAATCCAGGCACCAACAAAGCAGTACGAAAAATTGGGCGCCAGTTGAGCCGGAGAAATGCCATAAAAATGACAATACTCCTTCACAAAGGGATGAACAGGAAGGGTCATCCCCGCGGTGACGGCTCTGGTGTAGACCGGAAGGTATCCGGTCGGCGGCATGCTAGTTCTAAAGTGCACGTCCGGGAGAAGGTATTCAAACCACCTCCCATCAATGCACCCTTCCTTCACAGCCCGGATGATATCTTTATTCCAGACCCTTGACGCCACAGCATCGGCTGTGAAGAAAGGCCTGTCTGGTTCGCCGCTGGTGGCGGCCAAAGGGGCGTCTACTGCCGAAGTGGCCACCCCGCTTACATTGCCCCCCGTGAAGGGGATTCTTTCCACAGCCTCATCCAAAATTCATTCGAAGCTATCGAACTCGCTACCGAAGCTGTCAACGGGAGCAAATCTGGCTTCGAACCCAGCCTCAAGGTTTTCAACGTCTCTCAGCACGGACCCAATGCTGGAAGATGATGACAAGCAGGAGAGCTCCACCACAGAAGGGGGGTCTGGACGGACAACCGGTGAATCCTCTCGACTGAGGGAACTTTGGGCCATTGTTCTGGTGATTAAACAGACAAAGAGCTAAGTTAAAACCCCGAAGTCGAGAGGATGAAAGAACAGCTACCCTAGAACTACGACAACTCAAAAAGCGCCGTGACACGACGCCGACCATTCATACAGGAACGGTAGCGCCAAGGACTCATAGGAATCCAGGCCCAGATGCCAGGACTCAGAAGCGCACAAACAGCATACGGATGCGAAAAAATGAAACAAAGTAAGTTTCTCTATATTCTAAGTCCCACGCATTCCGCAGAAAAATACACAAGGTTCGAAACAGAGAGATGGAAGGAACCTATGCATAAAAACGAACAAACAGGAGGCGAGGAAGCTTACCGGAGAAGAAGGGGCGGTTGCACGGTCGCGGAGTTGGAAAGGAAGGAGTTCGTCGGAGAAGGTGGCGGTCCAACATATGCAAGTGAAAGAGTGGGAGTTTTCAAAAAAGTGGCCCTCGAACTCGTAGCAGGTATTTAAAGGGACGAGCGTCTTCGACCCTGACCATCGAAGCAAGACCTTAAAGATCCAACGGCCTGGGAAACCTGCCCAGATCTAACGGTTAAAAGATAGGGCGGGAAGCAGAAGGGCCACGATCCATGAGAAATCAATCGACGCGATGGTTACGTTCCCCGAAGGATATCCGACGGTCCCAGGCCATCATTACAAATGTAGGCTCAGGACCGGTTTCCCACACCCGAAGCACTAAGAGGCAATCGAACCTAAGTCTGAGGCCACCTAAAAGGCGCCCTCGACCTGGGGAGTAGCTGTTGTGTGGGAAAACTTGGCTGACACGTGGACAAAAGATGTCGCGACACGTGGCCTTGATCAAACCCCACAAAGCAAGGGACTCCCTCGACGCTTAAGGTTCCCTCGACGCTTAAATTTCCTCGACGCTTGCAAGCTCATCTTAAGCCCTCCGCTAAGGCTCTGGGACGAGGTCTTACTTAAAGCGACGACCTGTCTGTGGCGCCGACCAATTGTGCCGCCGACGCAACAGAATGGAGATTTCTCGACCGCAGGAAGTCGCCTTCAGGAAAGGCGGTTGGATTAAGAAGCACAGGCAACGAGGGAAACGCCTAATAGAAAATAGCGCCGATTACGTGCACAAGTGGAGGTGGTCTGTAAGCATTAATTACGGGCTGTCAGACTGCCCCCATGGGGGACAAAAAAGTATTACGGAGAAGTACAGAGCCGTAATAGAAGACTAAATAGATTGGATGAACAGTGCAAATTGATGAGCTACTACTGGGCCTTCCAAAGGAGAACACTCGAGTGTTTCTAGCTGTGAGGGAAACCTCCCGAGCTAAGGAAGCCCCAGTACAGGTAGAAGACCCCAATGAGGAAGGGGTTGAAAAAACAAAGCAAAGGAAATACATTGTAAACTGTATCTTACCCAAAGATATAGAAATACAATATTACAATGGACGTAGCTCTGAAATTTATAGAGTGAACCACTACAAACTCTCTTGTGTCAATAGTATCTAAGGGGTTTTTTTCAATAGATACATACACGTAAATAGCATATTGTTTCCTAACACGCTAAATTAAACCCACCCGGCCGGTAATCTAACGGGAAACTAAGAGGTAACCTGACCGGTTCTTTGTTGACGAAATTCGACCGTCAACAATAACCACAAATATATATATATATTATAAAATTAACAACGACCTTCTTTAAAAAAAAAAGCATCTGCAATGGCCACGATGATCTTTTCAAATGGAATTAACATTCACAATCCCTAAAAAAAAAAAAAAAAAAGATTTTAACAATGGCCACAATGCCTTCTTTTGCATGTCTTCTAGACGCGGCGAATCTAATTATTATGTATAAAAGGAACCCAACAAGAAGCCTCGACACACACATGCGACTTTCTTTCTTTCTTTCGAACGTAGAAACCTTTTGAAAGGAACGGAACACATTGACAACCATGAAGCTACTTTCGATTTTGAAATTATTTTAAGAATCATTTTATGATTAATTTTAAATTGTGTTTGGTTAATTTTTTTTAATAGATTATTTTAAATATAATAAAAAAGTAAAATCATGTTTGGTTATAATTATTAATTAATATATTATAACATTGTTGATAAGTACTAAAAAATAAAAACAGAAAAAAAAATTTTCAATCATTTTTTAATTTCTTCACAAAAATTATTCTCATTATTTTTTATTTTCATTTTGTTTTCAAAACATTTACTAAACAAACACAGTTTACAGACCGTTTTTATTTTGATGTTTTTAAATACGTGCAAAAATATTTAAAAAATAAAAAATAAAAATCAATTCTAAAAGTACTCATCATGACTACTCTTCACAAAGACTGTGGAATCAAAATGAATCTGAGTTTTCCGATTTCCACCAAAATAAAAACAAAACCAAAACCAAAAACATCTATGACTATTCCTCAAAGGCTCAAAACAAATAATGACAATCCGCAGTAAAGGAATTGACGATGAGCTAATGACTTTTTTTTTTCATTAAATAAACAATGACAATTCCTAAAAAAGAAAAAATAATAATAAACAATGACCAATTTGTGTAATGTTATTTCTGAGTCTTCAGATAAGGACACGAAAGTGGAAGGACAAGTCCCATATGCACACTCGGATTTGGTCACATATTAACAAAATTTTCATTTAACAAAAACTAAAATACGAAAATATTGGTCATTTTTTAAGGTAGCTAACCACCCCCAATTTCTCAAAAATGATATTTTTAAGAACAGGGCTTAATAGTGACTTCTTTTTCCCCCTTTAATCGAGTTGACATTGACCAAACCTCCAAAATAGAAAAAGAATTAACTATGACTTTTTTGTATTATAAAATTAATAATGACCATCCTTCAAAAAAAAAAAAAAAAAACAAGAATTAACAAAGACCACAATGTCTTTTTTTTAATGGAAATTAATTTCTTTTTCTTTTTCTTTTTTTTAGGCGTTCTTTTCTCTCATTGAATTGCAAATTAACATTGACCAAAAAAAAAAGAAAAAATACAATGTCTTGTGAAGTCTTCTCGGATAACGATTAACGACACAAAGGAAATGATGATACAACTATTATGTATACAAGGAACCCAGCAAAACGTCCCGACACACGCTCGACTTTCTGTCCAACCAAGAAACCTTCTCAACTGAATTACAACCATGAATCTACTTCCGCCGGAGGACCCGAAAATCGCGAAGAAACAAGGCTTCCGGTCTCTGAAGCTCTTGAACGTGGACTTGGAGCAGGTTATCGGAGAGCAGCCATTCGGAGTTGACTATGGTAGACTTGACAATGGCCTCTTTTATTATGTCCGCTCCAATCCCAAGCCCAGAATGAGAGCTGCCCTTGCTCTCGCCGTTAAAGCCGGGTATTTTCGAATCCTTTCTCTTCGTGCCATTTCTCGGAACTGTTTTCAAGTAAATGGCCGCTTTTTAAGCTTTTTTAGTGAACGACGCAAGTTTTTTAGACAATTTAATTTATTATTGATTGACTTGATGTTTTATTATTATGAGTTAGTGGTTAACTAATATCAGTACCGGTTTATATTTGATAAGCTATTGCTAAATCCGTTTATCATCTATAAAAAAATAAAAATCAAGAAAAAATTAGATAATTTATCTTTAAGAGTGTAGAATTTTACTTTTTACTCTTAATAAATATTATTTAATTAAAATAATTATGAATATAAATAATAAATAAAAATTTTGATTTATATACTTTTAAGAAATGTTTATCAAGATTATCCGAATGTTATATATAAAACACATTAAAAATATGGATATTTAGCTTTAAAAAGAAAAGTTCGGCCATCAATTGCAACGAATGGCCAAAACCGGCAATCCACTTAATTTTTTTTTTTGTTTTTTTTTTTTGTAAATTTCGTCAAAATTGGCCTTCCACCTAATTTTTCTTTATTTTTTTTTCGGTCATTTCTCTCTATAGAAATGTTGTTATGCTTTAGTGTTTTCACTGTATTTGAATTGTGATTCTAATTTGTGTTGGTGGCATTATGGAATTTTGATTCATGGTTCAACTTTGCAATGTCCCATGTCCTGTGTGAAGAAAAACCGAGAGAAAATTAATCACAGAGACTCAACGCGAGTAAATCCTCTGTGTCTGCAATCTGTTGTGTGCTTGAGATGAGAAAGTGAATTGTTTACACATCTGTGAACATGGACTGCAGTACAACAATTTGTTTATTTATTATGTGCAAAAATACCTTTTTAAAGCATGTTTATAGTCAATGTCAATAGTTTTGTTAAATTAAGAAACAAACTTTTTCTTTCACTTCACCTTGTGATGGAGTCAAGCGTGGAATTAAAAAAAAAATGGCATTTTTTTTTTTAACAGTAGGTATATCTCTCTGTTGCTGGCAGATCGGTTTTGGAAGAGGAGGATGAGCGGGGAGTTGCTCACATAGTTGAACATCTTGCTTTCAGCGCCACTACAAAATACACAAATCATGATATTATCAAATTTCTTGAAAGTATTGGATCGGAATTTGGTCCTTGCCAGAATGCAATGACATCTGCTGATGATACAGTTTATGAGCTGTTCGTTCCTGTTGACAAGCCTGGACTGTTGTCTCAGGCCATTTCAGTCTTGGCAGAATTCAGCACAGAGGTACAGAAAATATCGAGATTCTATATTTTTATTTATTTATTTTACTTCCTATTGTTTATTAATCTTTAATGCAGGTTCGCATCTCAAAAGAGGATTTAGATAAAGAAAGAGGTCCTGTGATGGAAGAATACAGAGAGGGTAGAAATGCCACTGGAAGGACGGTGGATGCAAATTGGGTTTTGATGATGGAAGGTTCAAAGGTACCAATCTTAGGATCCGTTTAGTTCGCTAATTGGAGTTTTTAATTCGAGTTGAGATGTGATTTTATGTGAGAGTTTTTTACTATAATGAAAATGTTAAATGTAACTATTTTTTAGAGCTTTTTATTGTAACCAAACTTGAATTCTAAACTCGAATCAGTGAAATGAACGAGGCCTTAATAATTGTTCTCTTCTACGTAAATGATATTTCTATTTATGTGTAATCATTGTGATGGGACAATGTCCTATGCAGTGTGCACAAGTACTGTCGTGAAAATAGAACATTGTAACGAATGTTCTTACACGTTGTTTTGGTGTTGTATGTCATGTCAGCTGTTGTTTTTATACAAACTGCTTAATTTTTTTTTATCTTAATAACAATATTAAGTTTCACTGATGATGAATTAAACATAAAGTTCGCTCATGTTTTAACTGGGGACGTTATATTTAAACTTAAAGAGTTTTGTCAAATTTATATAATATTGTAAAGCCTGGGTTGGATTGCAGTATGCTGAACGGTTACCAATTGGATTAGAGAAGGTGATTTGGACTGTATCAGCTGAGACTGCGAAGCGGTTTTATAAGAAATGGTACCATTTGAGCAATATGGCTGTGATAGCTGTTGGAGATTTTTCTGATACACAGGTTTGATTTCTTGACATGTGAAATTTTACGATGGAATTACAAGTGTACGTTGATTGGTGAGATCTCTTAACAATTTTGCTCTCTCTCTCTTCCCCCAATGCCTATCTTTCTGAAGAGTGTAGTTGAGTTAATAAAGACTCATTTCGGGCATAAGACTTCAGAACCTGAGCCTCCACTTATACCTGCATTTTCAGTTCCATCTCATGAAGAGCCGCGCTTTTCATGCTTTGTTGAATCCGAAGCTGCCGCGGTCAGTAGAAAACTAATATTTTCTATTTATTCTAATATTTCTCTGCGTTCGCAAACCACATCAGATGGATTTTGCATGTTATAATGATGCTCTCAATATTCTAACAGTCGGAAGTAGTGATTAGCTATAAGATGGCAGTGGTTGAGCTGAAGACAGTAAGAGACTGTCGAGATTTACTTGCAGAATCCATGTTTCTTCACGCTCTGAACCTGAGGTTTTTCAAAATATCTCGTAGAAAGGATCCACCCTATTTCTCATGCTCGGCTTCTGCAGACAATCTTGTTCATCCATTAAAGGCTTATATAATGACCTCATCTTGCAAAGAAAAAGGGACAATCAAGGCCCTAGAATCAATGCTGACTGAGGTACTTTTTGCTCATTACGGAAATTTTCTCTTCTTCTTTTGCTACTCTTTTAATTTTGCTGACACCTTTGTTTAAGATTGCAAGGATACGACTACATGGCTTTTCAGAATGTGAAATATCTATTGTTCGAGCTGAACTGATGTCGGATATTGAATCTGCCTATTTGAAGCGTGATCAAATGCAATCAACAAGCTTGCGAGATGAATATTTACAGGTATATCCTGATTTCGGTTTGTAGCAAATTCTCAGCTTCACAATGTCTTGTCATTTATTCAGAAACAATAATATTTCTAGTTTCTTTTGGCAGCATTTTCTGCGCAACAATCCTGTAAGTGGGATTGAGTACATGGCTCAACTACAAAAGACCCTTCTTCCTCGTGAGTAGTTTCTCATTTTCTAAAATATAATTTTGCAACAATTGAAGTGCTAAAGCATACACAGATTCATACATAAATATATTTGTGTGATATGATTGTTCTAATTATGGTTTTTTGCATCTATAGATATCTCGGCATCAGATCTATCCAAATATGCAGAAAAGCTACGAACGTCATGTAGCTGCGTCATTAAAACAATTGAGCCACGAGCTTTTGCAGTAGTAGATGATCTTAAAAATGTTGTATCAAAGATAAATAATCTTGAGAAAGAAAACAAAATTCTCCCGTGGGATGAAGACCAAATTCCAGAAGAAATTGTTACTTTGAAACCAAATCCAGGGTAACGGAGGAGCCCTTGCCAACTTTTAGTTGTCTTTAATTTTGCAATGATTATTATTATTTCTGTTTTGGAGCTGCACTTTTCATTTTTCCACATTCACTTGTGCGAGTGAAAAATACAAGTTATAGTTCCTCGCTCTGCTCTCTTCCTCGACGATAACTTTTATGTACATGGCCTATCCTTATGCACGTGATCTTACTACATTTCTTGCACCACCCCACACACACCCAAAATCTATTAAGTAGTTTAATGTATTGATGTAGTTTCTTGAAGTCATTGCCAACTGATTCATAGTTTATTCAAATAATTTGTTTCAGGTATGTTGTGCAGCAGTTTGAATATTCAAATATAGGAGCTGTTGAATTGCTTCTGTCAAATGGCATGAGAGTATGCTACAAATGTACAGATTTTTTTGTGGATCAGGTATTCAGTTTGAAAGTATCTATTTGCTTTGTCTTTTGCCTTCCATTTTGGTTCACTCCCTTATTTAAGCAATATTACATTTTCTTTGAAATAGACTCGGTCTTTGGGATAGTTTAAATTAGTCAAATTATCTCGGATGATTTCATGTGCTATTTATGCTTCTTATCCACACTTTTCCTTCTGATAAGTATTCTTATCCACACTTTGATTCAACAGGTTGTGTTTGCAGGGTTCTCTTATGGTGGTCTATCGGAACTCCCCGAAAGCAATTACTTTTCTTGCTCAATGGCGGAAGCCATTGCTGCAGAAATTGGTGAATATGGTTACAAACCGTCTGTGCTAGTGGATATGCTTGCTGGTAAGAGAGCGGAAGTTGATAATACAATCGACGCATATATGAGATTGTTCTATGGCGATTGTTCACCCACGGACCTCGAAACTGCATTGCAGGTTTGTACCGTGACACTTGCTCTAAGAAATCTAAAGGCTCCAATGGGAATTATGCTAATATGATCCGTAAATCTTTGTGCCTGACCATAAGTGGCATGTCAGTTTTGATATTTTGCAGTAAATAATACATTGCTAGCTCTTATTTTTGCATCTTTTGTACTGCTTCAAGTGTTTTCAAGCTGCATATCTTCTATTATGTCCCTTTTTGCAGCTTGTATACCAACTATTTACAACAAATGTAACACCAGAAGATGAAGTTGTGAAATTAGTATTGCAAAGATCAGAAGAGGAAATTCGTGCTCAAGAGAGAGATCCCCACACAGTATTTGCAAACCGTGTTACAGAGCTCAAATATGGAATGTCCTATTTCTATAGGGTATCTTCTCAACCTAAATCCAAATATAGGTCAGCTAAAGCTTTCCTTAATTTGATATGATCTGCTTTTAACTTTTTGCTTATTTACAATGCTGCAGCCTACCAGAATAAGTGATCTTCGAAAGGTTGATCCACTGAAAGCGTGTGAATATTTCAATTCTTGTTTTAAAGACCCCTCATCTTTCACTGTTGTTGTTGTTGGCAATATTGATCCTACTATAGCACTTCCTCTGATATTGCAGCATTTGGTAAGTACAATTACTTATTTTATTCTGCCTTTGCCTGGAGACTTTTGCATATTGTATTATGTTTTGCCATTTTCCATACAGGGTGGAATACCTGAGCCTTCGAAACCTGTTCTCCATTTCAATCGGGAAGACCTTAAAGGCCTGCCATTCACTTTTCCTAGAACCATAATTAGGTAAGCTATTTCGCAAATACATGAACACGCAGTTTATTCATGTCATGTATAAAAGGTGCCTCATGCAACAGTTCCAATGTTATTATACAGAAACACACGCGCACGCGTGCACATATCTTTTACTAAAAGAGTACTGTCGTGTTTTATTGATATGGAAAAAGCAACACTCATATGCTTTCCAAGGACCACAAATTGTTTACATCATTTATCCTCTTTTGGTGGATTGAATGCTATTCCTCTCTACAATTCCACTTGAAATTTTAGTAAAATGTTACACTCGCTTGCTAATGTATGTTGATGCATCCACACATTTTTCTGGAGTTTCGAATTTTCTTTTGACACATTGGATGTACTTGTAGGGAATCAGTTTATAGCCCTATGGTGGAAGCACAATGTTCAGTCCAGATAAGCTTTCCTGTAGAACTGAAGACTGGGGCCATGGTGCGCTACTGGGCTTCTTTAATTCATCCTTTCAATTAAAAGCTTATGTAGTAGATCGTGATTAGGCCATTCATGTGTTCCGTTTTACTGATCATCCATTATCCATTTTCCTTTTGCGTGGAAAATTCATATGGCAGATAGAAGAGATTCACTTTGTTGGATTCTTAAGTAAACTTCTTGAAACAAAAATAACGCAAGTACTACGTTTCAAGCATGGACAGGTGCGTGCGCGTCCCCTTAGTCTTATTTCTGTTTTTCCTGCTCATCTTTACAGTTTACCTTCTCTATTCTGCAGATCTATTCTGCAGATGTTTCAGTATTCCTTGGTGGTAATAAGTTTTCAAGAACTGGTGACATTCGTGGTGATATCAGCGTCAACTTTTCTTGTGATCCTGAAATCTCCTCAAACCTAGTAGGTGTTTTGCGGTACTATAGTTTTCGTTTTTTTTTTTTTTTTTTTTTTTTCCATGTTTGGTTTGAATGATTGAGTTTCTAGTCATGCCGCCTCATTAGTGTGTGTATTCTTAATAGGTTGATCTTACCTTGGATGAAATTTTACGTCTTCAAAAGGAAGGACCTTCAGATGAGGATGTTTCAGCCATTCTTGAAATTGAGCAAAGAGCTCATGAAAATGGGCTTGAGGTAAATATTGAAAACAATTGAGATCCAAAAACTATCAATTGTGCTTGACACCATCCAGAGTGTTATTGAGGTTCTTGAATGAGTGAAGTGAATACAACTCTACGCCGCTTAGTTTCTCTGATGATTCTTTTATGTTCTTTCAGGAGAATTATTACTGGCTGGCCATGATCTTAAACAGCTACCAATCAGAACTCTACTCTGGTGATCTTGGTGCTTCTTTCGAGGTTGGTATGAAGTGTGCTTGTCTACCACTCTTATGTCAACTTTTTTTCTTTTTCTTTTTTGAACATGAGGGTGGAGGGATTTGAACTCCACACTTTTGTGGTGGGGTCAATGTGGAATTATCGTTAGGCTATGCCTCTCTAGGACGAGGCTTCCATATAAATTTAATGCACTATAGCGTACATTAAGTACAAGGGTAATTTCCTGTTTTAGACAAGAATTTGATATAATTTTCTGCCTTTTCATCATAACTATTGTCTTACACTACAATCAGTTCATTAGAGATGCCAGTTTGAGAGTATTGAATATTTAAACTACGATCCTCTTTGTGCAGATTCAAGATGTGGCCCGTTCCAAAGTTAGAAAATCCCTGACCCCATCAACAACACAGTTAGCATTACAAAGAATTCTGCCTTTTCCTTGCAAGAAACAGTACATGGCTGTGATCTTAATGCCCCAGAAATCTCGTCTTAAATCGTTAACATCATTTTTCCGATCATCACAGACGACACAAGCAAAGGTGAGTTGCATGTCTATTGTGCAGTTTGGCTTCTTTAACCACTGCTGAAATCTCCTCTTGAATTCTCCAGATTCTTTTGCTATTCCTATAACAAGTTTTACTGGCTGTGGCAGATATTAGCTGGTCTTGCTGGGCTGACAGTGTTGGTCCTTGGCTTGCGAAGATATTCACGAATTACGCGCAAATCGTAGGACGCATTTTCTTTGCATGGATTCATATATATTTGGGAAGTACGTATGAAGGTTGGCACGACACGGATTTAGATGGATTTTTACTGCATTCATTAGATATATGAGAGATATCTACTCATGACAGTTGACTTCCCTTCTAAAAAAAATTATCGTCATATGAATATATTAATATTACATGATTGTTTGTATATGATTTTCATCTTGGAGATCCATATCCCCCATTTTCTGAATTTTATAATTTAGAAGTTGGAGCAAACATTTATATAGTGAAACTTTTGTTCGTCATTATTGGAACCCGGAAACTGTTTCCACAGCAGTGTTAACAAAGTAGTTCAGAGTTGAATGAAAGAGCATTAGTCTCGTTTATTTTACCGATTTGAGTTTTTAGTTTTAGATTTCTCTACAGTAAAAAATTTTCAAAAAATGTTACATCTATTTTTTTTTGTTACAGTGAAAAGCTCTAAAAAAATATCACATCTCAGCTCGAATTGAAAACTCAAATCTGCGAAGTGAACGAGATCTGATAAAAATTTTTTGTTGATGCATACCCGTTATGTGTTTTGGACATCGTCCTAAATGATATTCATGAATATTATTCTGCAGACTTCATGCCCCATCTGTTTCATAAGTTCAAATCATAATTCAAACAATTTTTACTGCAGTAATTTCTTCTCATAAAAATTTAAATTTTTGTTTAACCTTTTTATTTGAATTTATGAATTAAACAGACTTTAGGGTGAAGATTAATTTGAATTTATGAACAAATAGGTTTTAGGGTGTGTTTGGTATGAGATATTGCAAGAAGGATGAATTGGTGTTGACAGAAAAGTTAGATCATTCTTTATTTGGTGGAGGGGATTGGTCCAGGGTAGGGTTGTTCATGGATTGGGTTGGTGCGGGGTATGACTTTTTTTTCCCCGCCCCAAAGGGTGCGGGTTGCACATATTTGGCCCCAACGATGTTAGAAAAATTTCACAACCCAACAATGTTCGGGTTGGGTTGGGGGGGGTTGGGTGGTCGGTTTCAACATTCAAAAAATCAAAGGCTTAAAGTTCAATATAATAGTCAAACTTCATCATTAAATAGAAATAGCAACCATCCTTATCAGTCCGGCGAGAGAGCACCGGAGAAAGTGGGCAAGACGGCGGCCGAGAGGACTGAGCAATGAGGAGAGAGTTATGAGGGGGTTCACGGGAGGGGAAGAAGAGGGAAAACTGAAAAGGAAGATGCAAGAAGAGGGGGTTCACGGGAGGGGAGACCGAGAATGAGATTGTGAACCCTAATGTTAGCGAGCCTAGGGTAGAACTTAGGCAGTTCGGTTTGGGCCGAAAGCTTGGGGGTATGTTGTGCGGGTTGGGTTGGGGATTGCGGGTTGTTATGGGCCCAACCCGCAATTCGCTCCAAACACTTCGGGCCAGAGGTATAATGAGCCGTAAATTTAAAAATAATGTTGCGGGTTGCTTTTTTCAGCTTGGATTGGGGCGGGGTGAGTTGAGTTTGCGAGTTGTTCGGATTTATGAACAGCCTTAGTCCAGAGAAAGGATTGGCGGAGGGGTTCCCAATCCATGGACCCGCCAAAAATTAATTCCCCCATAATTGGACGGAAAGTGAAGGAATGCTAGCATATATGGCCGTTAATTACAATTCTACCCCTTGTTTTGTTTCCTTAATTAATTATTTCTCTCTCTTTCAAATTTCTTTTTTTTTTTTTTCAATTTAACATTGCTTCTCTACTTTACTATGATGGAATACATAAATGTCTATTAATTTATATAAAAAATACCAAGTATATTGAAAGCCCTTTATTTGTGTGTTAATATATCAGTCTCATTTTTCTAAAAAACAAAAAAAAGTTCTTATAGGTAAAAAAATTTCTTAAAAGTTTAATTATTTATGTGCACAACTTAAATATTAAAAATTTTATTTGAAAAAAATGAGTATAACATTATTAATTGTTAATAAATACAAATCCTAAAAAAGAAAACCAATTTAACCAATTTATTTTACATGGACAGTGAAGTAATTTTACAAATCAAATCAATCATTTCATCTTTCTTTTCAATACCAAACGAAAGAGAAGAATAACAACAATCATTCATTCCTATCATATCAACAACTTGGAAAAAATTATCATCCATCCCTTCTTTTCCACTCTACCTCTCTCATATCCTATCCATTCTTCCATCAATCCATCCCTTATACCAAACGGACCCTTAAATCTCTCTCTAAAGCAAAGCTTGATGAAGGAGACGTTGAAATCTCAGAGGATGTTTGGCATAGATTCGTTCCCTGATTCGAATCATGGTTCGTGGTTCGCTACAGTATTTTCTCTCACAAAAAATAAACGTAAATAAAAAATAGTTCTAATCACATGGTTCTAATCCATGAACCAAACGTCTCCTCAAAATTCCAAACCTTGGTTCTGTTGTGCAGAGAGGATAGCTAATGTTTAGTTCTTTCACCTAGTATGTTTTGGTACATTGCTGTCACGCCCCCAAATGGGGTGGGTGACGTGGAGCTTGATTAGGGATTAATAAAGCAGATTCCCAACCGGGCCCCACACTTGATTGCATTTAAAATATAAATAAATTATAGAATCCAGCAGCCTCTGACACACAGGGCACCACCCCACAGGACATATAGTATTGTACATACATGCTCATGTAAATAATCATTACAACAGACATCAACCACAGTCTAGTAAATCCAAATATTACATAAGTTTACAGAATCTTTCTCAAATTCCTTACATTTGTTCAAGAGGATGAACTCAATCCTCGCTCGATCTAACAGTAGCAATCTCCAGCTACCCTGCACCGCTCCTAGAATCTCCTGGGAGGGGTTTAATACATTTGAAACATAAAACGTGAGCGAAAGGCCCAGTAGGATATAATTTGAAATACTTAAAATAAATGGATAGATAAATGGGCACGTGAATAAATAAATGAATAAGTAAATAAAATTAGACATTCAGTCCCGACAGAACAGCCGGAACCTCACATCCTTTTTCTGAAAGGAAATAAAACTAAAAATAACTGTATTACAGGCTTTAGCTAGTAATTAGTACAAATTACTTACCTGACCAAGTGCCTCACCTACCCGGATCGAGTTTCGGGTTCTGCCCCCGAGGATGCACTCTCCGCATCCTATCTAGGCTTACAGCAATAGACTCTCTTACCGATTCACAAGATCTCTTATCTTAAGAAATCATTCATTTAACATTATGAAATCGTTAATATGACCCCACGAACTACTCAAGCCGCGGGCCCCATGGCTGGGTAAGCCATGAGGTTCCATGACTATACAAGCTATGGATTCCATGGACAGGACAAGCCAAGGATTTCCATAAACTAAACAAGTCATGGTTTTTAAAACGTTTTTCTTTCGCAAACTAATCCTTTTCTTTAAAACATTTTCAAGGCCAAAATCCTTTTTGAAAACAGGCTCACAAGGAAAAGGGAAAGAAATCCTACCTTGCATGATCAAACCTGGGACTAGCATTGCCTTTTCTGGCTTCCGCTTCCTCAAGCCCCTTCAGTCTGAATCCTCAGCGATCACTGACACAAGACGACACTTTAGGATCAATTCTCATTCCTAAAGCAATCCAATCTCACTTATGTACCAAGATTTTCAATTAGTGTGCCCTAATCCATTTTCATGTTTCAATTTATCATTCCAAGGGTTTTCAATCTCAAATCAAGGATTAACAATGCTAATCCATCTATCTCAAGTCCCCAAATGAAGCTAATTTGGGTTCTCCCCGAAAACAGGGGTCAAAACAACATTTTTCAGGCCAAACAGGGTCAAACCCGTGTGCACCGGTCGACCGGTGACAGAGTAGTGCAACATTACCGGTCGACCGGTAGTGTGCACACCGGTTGACCGGTCAACCTGCAATCCGGTCGACCGCACAGGTCGACCGGTGGAATCGACTGCGCGAGAGAAGCTCGCGGAAACCAGTCCAAAAACTTGCAAATCCAGTCCCAAATCCAAATATTTCAAAGTAAAACCACTAGATCCAGGTTCTAGGTCCTAAAACAAGTCCAAAGAACCCAAAATCTCCAATTTCTACACTAGTTTTACTCAGAAATTATCAAAATTCAGTTTGAACCAAAAATAAGTTTTGAAATCCAAAAACTTGAGATTCAAGAAAGGTTCTTTCAGTAATCTTATCTCGAATCCTTCTCTTGACGTTGCAAACACTTTGAAACTCGTCTTTGGCTCAAGATCCGTTTGATTTGGGACAAAAACGGGAGAGAGAGAGAGGACGGGAGTGAAGAGAGAGAGAGTGTGTGAGAGAGAGAATGCATGGGAAGGAAGGAAAAGAAAAAAAAGAAAAGAAAAGGAAAGAAAAGAAAAGGAAAAGAAAATAAAGGACACGTGTATAGTATTTTAAAACAACAGTCCAGAAATGCGCCCATACACACTTCTGGATTAAAATAAATTACTGAGAATAATTTAAATACCTTGGAATTATTTAAACTCTCATTTCAGAAACATTTATTAATCAAAACATAATTAATTAAATCAGATTAGGCACACTAATAATCTCAATTATCTTAATTAATCTCAATTAATTCTTCAGGGTGTTACAATTGCTAACAACAAACAATAAATTGGGTGCGTTTGGAACTTGTTTCAAAATTATTTTATTTTTGTATGAAAATTGAAATGAAAATATTTTTTAATCTCAGACATAAATCATTTTTGAAAATGCATTTGATAGTTTTATCAAGAGATTATTTTCAGTATAAAAAAACTCATTAATGTCTCTCTTTCTCTCTCTGCTCGAGAGAGGATAAAATGAAAACGAAAAATAAAAAACGACTAAAAGTCATTTTTCATTTCTCTCCTTTTTTACACTAAACTAAAAAATCATTTTCCTTTCCTTTTTTGTCTTTAATTGTGTCAAACGCCGTTTTAAAATCACTTTCATTTTTTTCTCAAAAAACGTGAAAAATAAAAATAAGAACAATTCCAAACACGGCAAATGTTTTTCGTTGGCAATGTTTTTGGTACATTATTAATCATTATTTGTGACGACCCTCTTTAGTAGTCGTCACTATAGTTGATATTAACATATAGTTGTTGGAATTTCTTAAAATTTACAGAACATTTAAAAAAAAAAAAAACTCTTATAGTTGACATAAGTTTCGAATTGCTTTCTTAATTAAAATATGCATACCTTAACATATCCATTTTTCAAAGCATATAGATATATCTATATGTATATACTTAATTTTTAAGTCTTGCTTACTTACAGCCATAATCCACATAACCATTTGTAATATAGTTTCAGAATCATAACAAGCAAAACTATTTATCAC